CTTGGAGAAATTCAGTCACCCACGACCTCCCGCACCGGACGGCCACTCAGGATTGGGTTCTCTGGGATGTCGATGTTGTCGATGTCTCCGTTTTCGAGTACTCGCCGAGCAATGCCTCCAGTTTCAGTTCGGTGGGGGACGATTACTCGTCCTGTCGAAATTCGCCGATTTCGGCCAGGTCTGAAAGCCGAGCGACGTCACTCGCCTCTGAGGTTCTTCGGAGATCGTATATGGTGGCGCCAGAAAGAAATTCGCATAATAGTGGCAGACAGGTTCACTCTGTCTCTAGATCTGTAAGTTGAATACTCGAATTGAGATGAAAATCAGTTGGATTTGCTTTGTGAAATTAATTAGTTAGTTTTAATGTACAGGAGTTGGGGATGGATTTTTTCGAGAAAGCAAGAGCAGTACGGCTGCAGAGTCACCTGGGGAAATACCTGGTGGCGGACGAGGACGAGGTGACGGTCCGTCAGAGCCGTAACGGGGCGTCGCACAGGGCGCATTGGGCGGTGGAGTTTGTGGAGGGAAAACGAGAGAGGATCCGTCTGAAGAGCTGCCACGGGCTGTACCTCACGGCGTCGGACGAGCCTTTTCTGCTGGGCATGACTGGGAAGAAAGTCCTCCAGAGCCTGCCGCTGCCGGAGGAGACGGACGTGAGAGTCGAGTGGGAGCCAGTGAGGGAGGGTGCGGCGGGTTTGAAGCTGATGACAGCAGAAGGAAAGTTTCTGAGGGCCAACGGGGGAGCGCCGCCGTGGAGGAACTCGGTCACGCACGATGTGCCGCACCGGACTGCCACGCAGAGCTGGGTGGTGTGGGAAGTGGATGTCGTGGATATTTCAGTTTCGGATGTGGATCCGGGTTCGGGTTGTTTTTCTCCTGTCTCTAGTTTTTCTTCGTATTCGGGTACGCCCGATATAGGGTCGCCCATGGCCATGGGTGGGTATTCTTCCATGCTTCCAAATATGTCCACTACGACACAGGTTAATTTTATTTCTAATTAATTTTCTTGTACGTAATGCCAAGACATGATATAAAAAATGGCAACATGTTATTGGGAAATGCTCGTGACGAAACCATTCTGTCGAGTTTTATAACCGTTAAATTAACTTGGTTTCTGTCGAGTTTTATAACCGTTAAATTAACTATCTCCGTTACGATTAAATGATGATCCTTGATAGTAGTTTGTGTTCTCATTGTCCTTAAAGTCTGTTCGCTGTACACCAGTAAAATTGAAAAAAAAAAATAATAATAATTAAATGAGTAATGGGGCGATCGTCCAGCTCTGCATTAATAATGGAGGTCGTTCATGGAATTTGGCGTAGTACAACTGTCATTAGGATTAGTCAATGATGATAAATTTTTGTGGACCTAATGATTGAGAAATGGCAGCAGCAAAATTAATGAAATGTTCTCCATCGGTGGAAACATGGTTTGATTTGATATAAAATTTTGTTACTTTTAATCATAGTATTATTTTTGAAATTGTAAATTACATGGTTTGACATAACATGTTTTATTAAGAATGTATCATAACTATTGCTTTTCATTTCTGAATGGTGGTGTAAGCAGTGTTATAAAAGTCGCTAGACGCTCGACTCAGGCCTAGTGGACGTCTAACGACTTTTAGACCCAACGTAGTCTCCAGGTTGTAATTATCGCTTTTTCTTTTAATCTCTTAAACTAATTGAACCAACATAGTCTCTTCTAGGTTTCTGGAATGGAATTCTTCATTAAAGCCAAATCCGTCCGGCTGAAGAGTCACCACGACAAATACCTAACGGCAGACTCCGACGAGGAGAGTGTCATCCAAAACCGGTCAGGCTCTTCCATCTCCGCCAAGTGGGAAGTCGAATTCGTGTCCGACAACGTGATACGATTGAAGAGCCGTTACGGTAAGTACCTCAAGGCTTGCGACAATGAGTTCCTTTTGGGCGTCACTGGTAGAAAAGTCACTCAAAGCCTCCCGGGAAATGGAAAGCTCGACTCGTCTGTCGACTGGGAACCTCTCAGAGATGGGATGCAAGTGAAGCTCAAATCAAGGTATGCATGTAATTTCCTACGGGCCAATGGGGGTCTCCCGCCGTGGAGAAACTCCATCACCCATGATATACCTCATATGCACCACAATTGGGTTTTGTGGGAAGTTGATGTTGTTGAGGTCCGGCCCGAGTCACCGAATACGATTTTGCAATCTGATTCGTTGGATGAGGATTTGGGTTCGGCTTCTTTTCATATTCGTATCCCGAGTGTGGTTAGTGTTTTTTTTTCTGCTTCTGCTTCCATAAGTACTTCATGTCCCAATGCAACAATTAATCAATGTTAAATTTCATTTTTACTACACTATGTTGGTCATTTTCCGACAATTGTTCATCATATAGGGCGTCACAGAAAATGGACCACTAAATTTCCATTTTAATCAAAAACTCGTGCAACCCAACATAGTACTAAAAATGACAACAAAATATGATCACTTTTAGTGGTTATTGTTGACTAAAATAAAAATTTAGTGAACTATTTTTTATGATACCCTATATGTTAGACCTTTTTTAGAAAATGACCAACATAGTAGACCATTTGAAATTTTGTCAGCAATCAATCTATCTAATCTATGAGGTATTTCATTAGGAACTTAAAATTAAATTTTGGATTTACTATGATGACCAGCCTAGAAGAGGTTCATTTGAAGACTCACAGCGAAAAAAATCGGAGGGACGGCTTATATACTACTACGTGGCTGCTGATGGGGAAATCAATGATGTCATGGAAGAACGTTCGTTCCAGTTCAAAGGGCACGGGTTGGAGGAACTGACCGAGATGTTAGAGGACGAAACTGGGCTCGAGGATGTAATCGTGTGCTCAAGAAACATCGTCAATGGGAAACTTTATCCGCTTCGGCTGGCTTTACCTCCCAACAACACCACCATGCACGTTGTCGTGGTGCCACCGACTTCAAAAGGTATGCATAATAAAGTTAAGCCTCTCCCTTGAAATGCTCCATGTTGTGCTGCTAAATTACTCTTCTCAAGATTTTGTTAGTTGTTATGTATGCTTCTGAACAAGCTCTTTTTTGGATTTTTATGTTAAAGATGTGAATTAATGAAGGGGAGAACAGGGAAAATGGCTTATAGTTAACTTTATATAAGGTAAGATGGATTTAAAGAAGGGGAAGACTACAGTCCCATTACAGTACGGTTACGTCGATATTTTTTATCGTAGATTATTTACACATCATAAATCTACTTGTGTATCTACTGTTAAAAACACCTACCGAACCAGGACTCTAGCACTAGCATTCTCCTTGAAAGAAAAAGATAAAACTATCTCAATAAAGGGTTTAAAGGGGTTTAAAATCACTGCAAGCGTACTAAAACAATTGGAATTGGTATTATGGAGCTAAAAATCACTTTATTAGGATCTTCTGGCCAACACGCAATGTCTAAGACAAGTTTACAATGTTTGAGGAGATTGCTAACTAGGTATGGCAAGTTACGTTTCATCGCGTGTCTTAGGTATTGTTGTCAAACTGAACGGGACCAGCTCATCGAACCGATCGAATCAACCGATTGCTATTTAAATATATTATTAACAGAAACGACGTATTTAAATTTATTGGATATATATTATTATATCAAAATGAATATTTAAATTATTTAAGCACCTAATGATTAAGTTTTTTATACATAATATTTGTTACGAAAGTACTATATAACTATTTCACTTGAAGTTTGACCCACTCGGTTCAACTATTGGTAACCAAAAATATTGATGCTTCAACATAGATAACTTTTGTTGTCCTGAGAACCTTCATTTTAAGGCAATCCACCTTATATATATATAGTTCTTGTAATGTGTTAGAGACTAAGTGGCAAGCTATCAAGCTCGCACACTTACAAATTATATATAGCAAGTTTTCATTTTTGTTTTTGGTTTGTACAAACTTTAATTTACTTTCAATCAAAAAATAACTAGGCATGAAATAGCGATAAATATACTGGATATTTAAGATTCTTTTCAATAACATTAATTATGTTTTAATATCATTTTTGTTTTAAGGCATAAATTTTTTTCCTAACCTTTTTTCTTTCCTCAGTCTTTCTTTTAAATTAAATAAAAAAATTACTAACTCAAATTATAAATATTTTAAAAGTTAACAAGTTTTTAATTCATTATAAAAAAATTTAAATAAAATACATCAAACTAATCATATTTTGATGAGTTTCGATTTGACATTTATATTGTGCATACAAAAATAAATAAATTAATCACATTTATAGTAAAAACTAAATTATCTATTAATATTATTTGAAAATAATAAAAATTATTAAAATTATTTTAACTACAATGTAGTTATATGATATAAGTTAAATAATATATATTATAATATAAAATGAGTAAGTCCTTTAAGTGACTGGTGTTATTTTAAATATAAGTAATAATAATATAGTTTCTCGAAAAGTTTTTAAATTTCAAAATATTTTTATTATTTTTTAATTTTAAATATAAATTCTTTAATCAAATCAAAGTGTAATACACGGGTATTGTAGTAGTAACAAATTATTTTTGTTGTTTCTAATTCATAAAATCACTACTTGATATAGTGTTTACATATCAAAGGCCCTTCTTGCGAATGTAGTAGTTTGTGAACAAAAATTGCATTTAGAGACGCTTATTTTTTTATTTAGTGACATTTATTAGTGTCACGAATAAATTTACGTCCACTAGCAAAAGTGTCACCAGTTGCGTTGCTAAATTTGCACGAATATATTTGTGACGCAACCTAGATGTGTAGGTAGTCTTTAATGGGCAACACTTTTTCAAAAGTTCGTCGTTAGTACATAATTTAGTGACACGATATATTAGTGTAAGTAATTTTCAGTAAGTGACACTTTTTTTAGCGCGACATTATTATTACGAGTTGTGACACAAAATTTTAGCGTCGGTAAATCCAAATGCATGACGCTTTTTTATAGAGTCATTAATATAAATTATTGTTACACAAAATTGTATTGTTTGCAATTTTCAATACATTACACTTTTTTAAGTGTGTCTAAGTACAAAGAGATTGAAAAATATTTTATGAAAAATTCATATTCAAACACAAACCTCGATCCACAATCGTAATTTAATGGTTCACTGAACAAATGATAATTGAAAGACTAGGACCATAATTTCTCATGACATTGAATTCTAAACCAAAAAAACTATGATGCTACACAGTTAGACAATTAGAACGAAAACAGCCATCTTCAAGGTCATGAACCCACAACTCAACGATACTGCACAAGCACAAGAAAGCAAACTAAAAACCAATGACTCATCTGAAAATGATACTATAGTCATAAACAAAGTAGTTATCAATGTAACCAAACAAATACCTTGATGAAGCCGATATCTTTGGCGTTGTCTGCAGCACATCAAACCATAGTAGGCTGAAAAATTGTCATCCAACCATCAATAATCTCATTAACTCCCAACAAAAGAAAGTAAAAGATAGCAGCATAGGTGAAAGGCAATCAATACCGAAAATCATAACAAAATATAGATGGAATTCAATTATTGCCAAATGAACTGGAAAGATGAATACTTTTATCATTTTTAAACCAAAAAGATCTAAACACCATCACGGTGTTGAGGTAAATCTAAAAATTGAAAACTTAGGTCTTTGAAATGGAAAAATAAAATCACTTTCTAACAATGTGATCAACGGAGGCACTAAACCCCGATGAGCCATCGTGAAAGCAACAATCAAGCGCGCTTCCTCCATGCATAAACTCTCCCCTTAGCGTGTTGGCGGTTACATTGAACAGTCGAACACTCTAACAATAAAGTCATCACGAAAAACATTTTTTAAAGAAAGTACGTAAAATATGAATTGCGGATCCGAAATTGGAAAAACCACACACGCCACTATTCCATTAAAGCACGAGTCGAACCTTGTCCCAAGAATAAACTAAGAGATGGTTGTTGTGGTTCGAGAAGCGGAGGTTTACAATTCAATGTACCTTCAAACAATTAAGAGAAGAAATAGCACTGGACGAAAAAATAAAATCCAAAAAGCAACAACAAATAAAGTAACTTAAGATTATTGCAAGAATTGGGGCATATAAAAAAAACAACAACTCACCATAATCCACAAGAGTCGGTCCCAAATTTCGCTAGAAGAACAAAAATAAAGAAAAAATAAACCTAAATGAAGAAGCATAAGTAAGCTTATTACGCTAGAGGCTGAGGCGAGGTCGGAGACATCAAGCACTTTTTCTCTGCGACGTGTGGTGTGAACTGGAGACGAAGAAGAGAGGACAAGGCGGCATGAGGCGCAAAACAGGCCTGTGGGAGAATAAATAAATGGCCTGAAGTGCTGTGATTCTGCTGAGGCCCAACAAAACTGGAAAAATTCAAAAATTCAGAGTTCATACCAATCAAATTAATCACCAAGTCCAAATTTAATCAAAGTTCAAATGTGCTCATACTTCACAGAATCGTAGTCCACATATGCATCCAAAATTAATCAATAAGCCAAGCAATCGGTCATTATTACCAGAATGGAAGCTGCCTCGTCGCTCGGTGTCACTCTCTGTGTTGCTGCCTCGCCGCTCGTGGCTCGACTCTCGATTCCTCACAGTCGCCACCCGTCAGCCGTCTCGAAGGTCTCGCACTCTCGCTTCTCGTCGCCGCTCTCGCAGGTCTTGCTTCTCGCCTGTGCCGTCGTCACCGCTAGGGTTGAGAGATTATGTTTTTGCCCCAAACCCAATTAGTTGAGAGATTTAGGGTAGGGATTGAGTTTGGCGAATCGTCTTCTCTTTCAGTTGTGTTTTTCTCTTTTTATGTAATGGAAAAAGAAGAAGCGTTTGTTCGTTTGGGTAAAATGTCAAATGTGTTTTTATAATTTTTAAAACATTTATTATATAATTATAATACTATGACATTCTTACACAATTCATTATATAATAATAATTTTTAAAACATTTCACTATATTATAATTTTGTTAACGCTTCTTAAGCAAGATCACAACTATTTGATTGCAATTATATTTTATAAAAGAACCATTAAATTTGTGTTGGTAAATAAGGCAATATATGTTTTAAACGATAAAATATAACTATGTATTTTAAAGGAGTGTTGTCATATAGATAAAAACAACAACACTTATGTATAAGCGTCATAATTTAATAACATTTTTGAAATAACGGTACCATGCGATAAATAATGAGATGCTTGTTTAATAATATTACTAACTAAATAATTAAGTTTTTTAAGTGTTTTTATATGCTTAAAGATGGCGACACAATTATATAAGTGTCATAACGTAATTACACTTTGTGATAAGTGTCGTCATATTAGTAAAAAGTTGTGACATTTTCTAAAAATGCGATATTATTTTAAGACACTTCTCAAAATGTGTCGCCATATAACTAAACATGACGACACTTTTGTATAAAGCATCATAATTTAATTACACTTTTTAATAAATGTCTCAATATCGATCAACCCAGTGACACTTTTTAAAAGGTGTCATGATTTGATTACATTTGAAAGAAAAACGTTGTTATAACTTAATCTTTGTAACGCTTTTTAAAAAGCGTCACAAATACATAAAATACTCAGAAGAGGCTTAAGAGGAGTCAGCTAGCCGGAAGAAAGATGCTAGTGGGATTAAGGAGAAGACCTCTTTTAATTACACTTATTAAAAGAAGTCACCATATTTATGTTGTTAGAAACCTTTTTTTTTTGTCTGATCAGGCGGATCATTTGTAATTCTAAACGGTAACTTCTCATGCCATGGTCAAATTTTAGAGGTAGTTTTCTAATTTTTTATGTGTTTTATTTTCTATTTCGTTCAAGGTTGATCTGCATAAGCGTGTGCAAAATCAATCCACAGACAAATAACGATAATCTATGTTGATCGTCTTACAGCTGCAAATGAATTCCTGCCAGTATCCCGTTCTTCTTCATGATGCTTTGATCGTTGGCAAGCTTAAGACCATAT